AATTGTGATTAGTTGATTATTTTCATGAGAATTGAATCATAGTTTGATTAATCTTGTCGGATTAATAAAAACAGTAATTCTGATTAGTTGGATATTTTCGTGACAATCACTACAATCAGAATTTCAATTAATCAATTTCTTCTGTTATTTTATTACAAGTTACAACTGTTACAGTAAGGGAGATTGTTTTTTTCAGAACTGGTACGACGTTTCGATCATTGGTGCGATCATTCTCTTGTACACAAGTTTTAATGGTAATAAAGGTTTTGTTATTTAAATCAACAATCTAACAATGTATTTAAATTTTAGAACTGATAATGGTTACGTTTACTTTTGCATAACAGTCTGTGTGATTTTACAGAATATTTATGACTGAACAAAAAAAATCAATAAATATAAAACAAAATGTAGAATATGTTGTGCAAAATGTTTGCATAAGATTAGAAATGTCTTGAGAAATAATGATAAAAGGCCTTTACAGATGTGCCTAGGTATTTGTTAATTGTGGGATTGTTTGATATTATTAATAAGTCTTCTTTGATTTTTCTTCTGTTAATGTCACGTTCATGCTTTAATACTGTGACTTTCTGTTCAGAAAAACTGTGGTTGTTTTTGTTCATATGTTCATAGACTTGGGAAGAGGATTTTTGGTGTTCTTTTAACCTGATATTCAAGCTTTGTCCTGTTTCGCCTGTGTAAATGGTTGGGCAATTGTTACATTTGATTTTGTAAATGTTTTCTGGTAGGGTGGGTTTGTTATATAATTTTCTTAACATGTGTTTAATCTTTATTCCAAATTTCTGATGGGGTTATGGTAATATTTTTATTCATGAGATAATGCAAGTGATTAGGTATCCTTTGTTCCTCGGTGGAGTGTTTTTTGAGTTTGCATGCTTTTTAAATGTGACTTGTCTGTGTTAATAGCTGTTCAAACCGTTTTTGAGAGAATTGGACTATTTTATTAAAGCATTGAGTTAAGTGTGCAGTTTCTTCCTTGGTGCTTTCTATGATGCATATAGTGTATGCTAAATTGTACTTGTCATTTTCATTAGTCGATTAGTTTAGGTGATATTAATTAATTGTTTCCATTTAATTTAATTCGAGAGTTATGATTTAGGTTGTTTAAGTATAGCACGAGTAATAAATTTTGTTTTAAGAAGCGTTAGTTTATCACAGGTTTGTTTACATAACTGCTTACGAATCAAAATTGGCGATTGTTGTATTATTGAAACATGTTACTAGAACCTTCTACGTTTTTCTCGTTGTTTTAATTGAGTGTTATTGCATCATAATATCTCGTAGTGTGTGGAACATTCTAGGCCTCTGTCAGGCTATAAATACACTTCCAAAATGTAGTTTGAGTTAGTTACGTAGATAGATCTAGATAGACTGCATGATTGTGAGTTTAGCCATAAAGAGCTTTTATTAGCGATTTTTGAATTGGAATTGTCACAGATCGAATTGTAATAACAGAGTATAGAATAATATTTTTTCTTGTCAAATTGTGTTCTAAAATAACTGAACCAACTTGTGTGGACTTGGACGAAAAGAGACCATTGTTTAAAGCGCTGGATACAACTGTAGTAACTAACATCATAACATAAATGAAATTATCACCGATTGCATTGTAAAAACAGAGCATGGGAAAATAATTTGTCTTGTAAATTGTGTTCTAAAGTAACGGAACCAGCTTGTGTGGACTTTGGTGTAAAAGAGGCAATTATTTAAAGCTCTAGATACAATTGTGATAACCAACAGTGGGTTGGGTCCACAACACAGAAATGCCAATAGATTGTTTCGCTCTATGGGGAGACCCTGTATGTTCCTTGAAAGTCCTGACCCTAGACGCCATGTGGGAGCCAAAACAATTTCTGCTGTGACAATACAAGCCATATAGTAGGCAATTCCTCTAGTAAATGGATGCCTAATTTATTACACCAGGAGCATTGGGAAGAGTAACTCAAGAACCCTGATCTAATACAAGCACTTCTTGCTGTGCTGCATGGTGAAGCTTGGTCAGCTCAGATTGAGGAATACGTAACAGATGCTTTAGCCTGTGGCACTTGTGTGAGCAATTATAAGCTGTGGTTCACAACCTGCACTACAGCTAGTAATCCACAGAGCTCTATGGCAAAAGATTCTTCAAACCTTTCATAAGATTGGAGGGCACCAAGGTGTTACTCGCACTTGTGCTAACATTAGATGACAGTTGTTCTGGCCAGTGTGAGTCGACAAGTTCAGTATTATTATCAACACTATACACTTTATGCCACCCAAAGAAAGTATTGGCCAAACCAGGGCGAACTCCAAAAAGATAATTGTTGGTTCTACTTTATAGAAATATTACTGATCCACTTCCAGAAATTAAACGAGGTTTGACACTTCTGAATATCAAGTACTTCACAAAGTGGGTCGAAACTTTTTCACTGTCCAGCATATTGGCACAGTTTTTATTTGATGTGTTGTTGGAACCCTAGATAGCACAGTTTGGATTATCTCGAGAGATCCACAGAGAGCTGTCATCTGTTCTCTGAAAGGTGTAAAGTGTTGGGTGTTGTGAAGACGTGCACTTCACTTTAGCACTCCCACTCAGGTGGTTTAATTTTAAAAAATTGTTAAAATAAACTGTCAAGTAGATATTTGTCACGCTTTTTATTCCTGATTAAAATAACTGATATGAGCACATACGATACAGAGCAACTGAGCAGAGATCGATAGGTTGATTGTCAAACTTGTTCATGTCTGGCTCTCTATAAGTGTAATCTATGGCCCTCCCTTAGAATAAACACCCAAATGTTTTCAAAAATATTTGTGCAACTATTAAGAAAAGACAGTCATGCTATAAAAAGTACTATGATAAAGTAATAAAGGAATATATATAATAAAGTGGGGTCTGGGTGTGCTGGAAAAGATCTTTGGTTTTGCTCCTATATAAGTTGACCCATTAACAGCAGTCCAGATATATGTAAATGCATGAAATACAAATTGACCAGCTGCATTATATGTTAGCAATAAACCACTTATGTGATTAAGAGAGCACTGTTTTATCTTTCCCAAACCTGTGTTAACTGTTGACAAAGAAATGGTGTACTAGTGAGCAGCACAGAAACATGTATTGGGCAAGCAGGACCCAATGAAGCCTGGTGAAACAAGGCATACACAGGTGTTATGGGTACATATTTAGGGCATGAGAACATGTGAATTCTATAGAAATGTCAGTTCACCCACGTGGTAGTTTAATTACTCTGTCTGAAATGTAATGCCATAATGGGGCATATTTGCAACTGGATAATTACAACATTTTACAACCTATACACCTAGCCAAACTTCTTATGAATTGGAATTCGTTCGACCTTACATTTTCAATCCTGACTTTTGCTATTTGATATCAGATTCTTAGTTCTTATGGCTATCATATTTTTCAGCTAGCAAGTAATGCTTTCATTCCCTTAGTGTGTGCTTAAACCACTAATTATTACTTTATCATGGAAGAACATTATGGAGATATATATGCACGGGACATCATGTTGAGTGATATCAAGGAACTGGACCTTATGGCCACCCACAAGGAAACTGGAAACCAGCCTAGCCAGAATCCAATGACGGGTTGGCTCCCACATCTCCAGGGTCCAAACAGGCACTAACAGGGCTGTAGTTCCAACTTAATAAAGTGCTTGGAGGATGTTATACAGTCAAACTACACACATAACAAATGTGTATATATATCACCAGTAAGACCACTACATACCAACATATGTCGAAACATCATCTGTTACAAGACCATCACCACTTAAGAAGTCCTGTGATCCATCTTGGAGTTTATCACCATACCACCAATAAGCCTTCATTAGATCAGATACCCATATATAAAACGGAAAAGTGGACCAAGGCCTAATCCTTGTATAACCATGAAAAAAACAGTCTCCAGAGACAGCCGAAGCTCCTATTATGATTTAGAGGAAGAGCTCCGGTGATTATAACATGTTTGCCTTGCGGGGGAGCGGTCTTCTGACGAGGTTAAAATAAAGAGAAATATCATGTTAGTCTGAGAATGAATTGTAAAAATAATGTATACAGTCTTTATTTAAAATTTTGTTAAATGATTGTTGTTAAAATGTTTTCTGATTGTGTTGTTGCTCTGTGTTGAAGTGTTTGTCTCGAGTATATGTATCTGCATTTTTCTTTCTCTGCTTGTAATTTATGTTAGTTCACTTTTTATAATTACAACTTTTATATACAGTTGTGTGTGTTTTAAGTATTTTAGTTGGATTCTGTATTATGTTTTCATTCCTTTTTTTTTTTGAAGGAGCCTATTAATATTATTATTAACTATTTTCATACTTATATAAAGGGTTGTTTTGTAACTTTTATTGTACCGATGTATCAGTATTAAAGGGTAATTTATGTTTTTGTTTTATGCTCAACATACGTCTATTGAAAGATTCATGTAATGATAATGTGTCATGTATTGAAATTTGGTTTTGCATTCTGTCATATGTAAAATCATAGTTGTTACTTTGCTGGGTATTAAGTGTATCATTACATGTTACATGATGAGACTAAAATTTCTTCATAAAAAGAGTTCTTCTTAATGTATTGATTTAGTTGTGAGAGGGTATCATCATGGGGACAATTGAGTATTGTATCATGATTCCATGTTAAGGAGTTGTATGTAATGTATTTTGCAATAATGTAATACTTTACATATGTGAAAGATTTATTTAACTTTGCATTTGAATTAGTTTTCTGAAGGGTTTGAATTCGTTTTAAAAGTAGTTTCATTGTTAAATGGTTTTATTTCTTGTTCACTTAATTTGCTGTGTATTCATTGTTAAATTATTTTGAAATAATTACTTGCGTTGTTTTTTTTGTGAAAGTTGTATTATGTAACAAGTGCATATATTTGTAGTCAGTCACTTTTAAACGTATATAGTATAAATATCGAGTTTCTTTATCAAAGCATTGTGTTGTCTGTGTTCGTGTAGGTTTTACACTTTATAAACTTTATTGTCTTTAAAGGTAATGTGAGCTTAGGATAACCCTGAAGTAAAGGGGGCAAGAGAAGTGTGTTAAATAAGCATACCGGGTGTTTTCTGCCTCCTTATTTTAATATAGAACGTTTCCAAAATTTCCTACTTGTGCTGTTATGTGCGATTTCCACATGTATTGACTACATTTTTGCCATTACAAAGATATAATGTTACCATTAAAATAGTTGAAAGTAGCATACGAAGTTATTCGTCGTAGATATAACTTTAGGATAAACCATCAGATGCTTTCAAACACTTACAAGTGCATATACACATTTAAGAACAAAAAACCAGTCAAGTATGCAGCCGCAAACAAAAGTATTGGCACCCTACTCTTTATTATACCATTAGCAAGGTAATAAATCAAGAGTAAGCCTTTAGTAAACTTTAATCAATTTTACAAAATAAAAATGCAAAATACACGCACTCTAGACATTTTAACAAGAATATTTATAAAAAACAAACTTGTTTCATTTAAAGTATTCGTTTGAAACAAAAGTTATTGATAACCCTGCTTTAGTACTTCATGTGTCCTCCTTTTGTTTTTATTACAGATTTCACACGTTATGAAACTTCTCAACAAGTGCATTGTATTAGAAGAAACCTGGGTCATTCTATCTTCCTTCAGCTCAGACATACTGGATACATAATGCTTGGTTACAGCTTTTTTTCAGATCAGTTTAAAATATTTCTGTTGGATTGAAACCTGGTGATTGCAAAGAGCAGTAGCATCTATGGTGACAGTCACTCTGTTCCTGTTTCTTACCAGCTCTATCTTTGTAAGTAGCTCCAGCTGCTTTATGTTGATATTTCTGCTGTTGCTTGTTGGTGATGGACTTGCACACCTTTGAAATATGCACAATTTTATAACAAATGTAGCATCTCTTCTCCCAATTGTCTGTTAACCTCCTGTCAACTTTGGTTGACTCCTACTTCTGGTCAGCCACCTCTGGTTTTGACTTTAACTGGCCCTGGTTATTCTTAGACTTGCCAGTTATACTCCCTCCATGGATTTCCACATACTGTTCTGCCAGCTTGATCATCTCTTCCACGTCTTTTGAGGCTCTTTCCTTTAGGAACAGTGACATGTCAGTTGAGCACGTGATCATGAATTGTTCGCGTATTATAAGATCTGCCAGAATCTCAAAACTATTTTCACACTTGACCATGTCAGTCGATCTTGTGAAGAGTCACCTTAGATGTGCCACAAACTGAACTACAGTTTCTTCAGTGTCAAGTTTGACTTCTCCGAACTTCAGATGAAAACATTTATCAGTAAATTCATAGCTTTTCAGCAAGACCACTTTTAACTTGTCATAGTCCATGGCATTTTTTGACGTCATGCCTGTATAGATTTGTAGACCTTTTCCTGTGAGAAGTGGGCTGAGACAGACTGCCCAGTCGCCTTTGTCCCGGTTTTGATTTTGGGCGATAGCTATGGGAAAGCTCCAGAAAATCATATATGTGTTCTTTCTGTTCATTCAATTTTGGCAGCTTGGATCAACTGGCCCTGACCCCATTGTCATTCTTGTATCCTTCTTCTTACTATTAGGTGAGCTTGGCAATCCCAGTTTGTGCTCTTATTCTCTCTATTTCCAGTCTTTCCTTTCTCTCATTTTCTTCTTTTAACCTTTCTTCCTCTCTTCTCTGTCTATGGTCTTCTCTTTCTTTAGTACTTGTTGCTGTTTAACAAACTCTCGTGCTTCGCCATCTTTGAGCCCAAGACACTCACCTTTTTCTAACCATTTATCGAAATCTGTTGACATGGTTATATAGAGTGATTGCACTATTTTCGTCACCACTATAGTTGTGCGTATATAGACTTACTTCTGCTGTCGTTCACGTCTTCTTCTACTACCAATGTCACGGTTTTAGTATATGGGGCCTGGATTCTTTTACAGTAGGTGTCTGTGACTTCTTGGCGATAGATTCGAGCAATAAATAGACAGTACACAAACGTATATACTAAAATTCTTTACACTATAGGATATCACAGTTGTATCTAAAACTCTAAATAATTCTCTTTTCTGGTCAAAAGTCTACACAGGCCGATTCAGTTACTTTAGAACCCAGTTGACGAAACGAATTATTCTTCTCTACTACTTTATCACTTACGTTACTTTGTGGGTTACCACAGTTGCATATAGAGCTTTAAATAATTGTCTTCTTTTTGTCAAAGTTTCATAGGCAAGTTCAATTACTTAAGAACACCCTTTGACAAGACAAAATGAGCCCGGCATGGCCAGGTGGTTAAGGCACTCGACTCGCAATCTGAGGGTCGCGGGTTCGAATCCCTGTCACACCAAACATGCTCGCCCTTTCAACCGTGGGGGCGTTATAATGTGTCGGTCAATCCCACTATTCGTTGGTAAAAGAGTAGCCCAAGAGTTGGCGGTGGGTGGTGATGACTAGCTGCCTTCCCTCTAGTCTTACACTGCTAAATTAGGGACGGCTAGCGCAGATAGCCCTCGTGTAGCTTTTGCGCGAAATTCAAAAACAAACAAATAAGACAAATTACTCTCCTTTATCTCCAGGAGCGTCGAAAGCCAGCACGGGCCCCGGGGTAAACATCCTCAGCAAGCCCCCTTTCTCTCTGTTTTTTAATATTTTTAAGAGCTTATTTAAAAGAAGATTCAAAATTAGGACAGCAACGAGCTCATAAACTAAGCAAAGTCATAGCAGCAGCCATTTTTAGCTCACAGTATAAGTGTAACAACATGCTTTATGGCATAACCAGATTTTAATGACGTGTATCTTCATCATGTACGATAATGTTTTCAATATTCTTTGTGGAGTATTTTTGTTCAAATATTTCTGAAAGTTGTCTGTTGACCTATTTAAAAGTTTGTGTAACTATGTAGAAAAGACGTGTTTGTGGATCTGGAAACTCTGTATGCTTTAGCGATTATTATTATGTTATCTTTCTTTAAAACTTAATTTTGAACACCATAATAACTTATAACTGGTGGTGTGGTAGCTGTTTCTACATTTTTCTGATCAACTTAGTACTGACATGTTTTACCAGTTTATTGCAACCATTGATCCCCTTTTCCTTCCTGTACTAAAGTTGCTTAATACTTTCTGTAGTATTCATTTGAAGGTTTGAACAATAACCCAATTTATTTACTATGTAATCGTTTTTACTCGTACAAATAAAAATATTAACTATCAAAAATAAGGACTAACTCTGAATTGTTTTTATCACAACCTTATTCACTAATAATGGCCCCACCTCTTTCCTTCCTCCACTTCCTATCAAGCGATTGATTCTCTCATCTTGCACTTTACTGAATTATCATCATTGTCAACCGTAGCCTATTGCAAAACATCCTGATCTTCAGGATCTTCTATCATCTCGGTGGAACATGTAAAAGGTTTAATGTATTTTCATTTGTCTGCTATGCAAGTACGTTTTCCTGTATACAATTAGTTTCAATTACAACACAGCCTTGAAGTTAAACATACTTTAAATAGAGAACAATACGCCATTGCACGCGCTTTCTCTGGGCAATGAATGATTTTACTATTGAACTTAACCCCTTAAACTATCATTTCTTTCTAGATAGTTCTGAAGGGTTAGAGAAAATTTATGCTTATAATTATTTAGCATCTAAACTTCAAGGTCAAGATCATATTGTATCTGCTTGAAATAGTATTGCTGCAACTTTCCTTCCTAATTGTTGTACCTTCCATAGCTACCAATGCCACTGCTAGACAATAGCTCCTACTTTCCCGTATGTGTGCTCTAAGAGATGCAAGCCTTTTCATCTTATATGAAGCTCTAATGATATCCTTACCCCTTTAAATGTAATAATAATAATGTGATTTCTTCATGACATAACTAATATAGAGTTCCCATTTGGTGGCAAGCCATTTATTGGTGTGAAGTATCACGATAAATGTTTCATTATCAAGCTACTTCAGGTATGTAATAGTTGAACGAATGAATGTCCATTTCCTAAACTGGGATCTTTCAATATTTTCCATAGTGTTGCCCGAGAAAAGTGGATTTTTCCATTGACCTTTGTGTTCATGGATTCTCGTCTGTTCCAAAACTCTGTAATTTGTTTACCATGGTTTGGACCCCTTTCTGGATGAACTTGGTTCCCCATGTTGATCCATATTATTTTCCTTTCAAATACTACTAAGCATAAAAGATATGCCCACCTTGGAATTTCTTCCGATTTGAACACATCTCTATGATCTGAGTGTATATGAATATTTTGATTCAGAAAGGGTTGTTACATATCCTTCTTCCATATTGAACAGTTGTTTATGGCATCATATTAGCTACAAGATGCTGAACAATGTCAAAATGTAGTTCTGATACATGACATTCCAGCGTCTTTATATTGATTCCTGTTGTCAAGTGACCTGCTGATTAGTATACTGAAAATGATTTAATATAACGTGCTCAAATGCATTAAATGCATTGTCGTCACAAATGGGCTCTTTCTCCTTCTCAAACTAAGGTCCATTATTTGTGTTTTGTTTTCTTTCAAATAAAATGAAATATTTGTGCCAGTCTATAAAGTAGAAGTATTTTAAGTACATACAAGCAAAAAGTTGTTCATATATAAAAAAGCAGCATAAAAAACCACACTATTATGTTTATTAAAGATATTAGCATACTACCGTAGGTAACGTTTTTGGTAACTATGTTAAAATAAATTTAAATATATTAAATCAAATTGAAAATTATCATTGGATACAGAGTAAACATTGAAGTGATCAACACAATATTCCAAAGGTATTATTCTGTGTGTATGGAAAAAGAAGTGTAATGTAGTAAAAATTCAGTTATGTTACTATTATAAGAGCTCTTTTTTTTATCATGTAAAATACTTGATATAACAACAGTAATAAATAAAAATAATTTATAAATAATGTTATAGTACAGGCTATACAAGTAATGTTATTCCCTTTAACCTTTGAAGTCTGAATCCAAAGAGAGATGGTACAATATTTCTTTGGATTTAACAACTTCAGAGGATAAAAGTAATAACATTAAATTTTTACTGTTGCAAATAAATAAATATTAATGTATTACATCCTTATGGTAAAATTTTCAGTATACAACTGAATGCACGTCCAACATTAGCACTCATCTAATGGTCTCGTTATGAAATTATTTTTTACGGCAATTGAAGCGTAATAAAAATTTCAGTTTGCAAATGATGATCATATTATTTGAATCCATTGGAATTACTCTGCCTAATAATTCCTTTTATCTGAACATGCATAACTAAAAGCAACACTTAACAGGTTTAGCTTCCAAAAAAGTCAGTATCAAGGAAACTGGCTCGAATCATTTTTCTTTTTCTATTTTCCTTTTAGGATCTTGTTGGAAAAGCCATTAATTATTCGTGAAGGACAACTTTGATTTCTTCATCTGTTAAAACAAAAATCTGAAATAAGGTTTGTAAAATACAACTACAGATCTTAATCCTATAAGCTCTGTACATTTAGACTGCACACAAGATCTTAAAAGTCATGAATAACTGTTTAAATAAGAACGATTTATTATTCTAACATCACATTAATAGAACTACCTAATCATCAACTTTACCAGAGATTAACTGTATGAATAATTGGTTATGTAAAATCTAGGGTGTAGCACTCCCAATTTACATACTTGACTTGTATAGGAACTGTAGGTTATATTGTTAAATAAATTTTCTTGGAGACCTCCTAGATTGAGCTGCTTTTTATAATTTGAATCTCTCATTGTAAAACCTGCATGTCTAGCTGTTGGATATACAAGACTGTTTAGTGTAAGAATTATTATTTAGTTCTTTTAGTGATATAATATTTAATGGTTATTTAGTTTTCATAACAATGTTAAAAGTAATTATTTTAAAAGCGATAATTATGACAAATTTTGTTAATAACTCAATAAGAGTCGTATGTTGTGTGTGTAGTTAAATTGTTATAAATTGACGTCACATTACTCGAACCTTCTATATTTTTCTCGTTGCCTTAAGTGAGTATTGTTACATCATGGCATCTCATAGTTTGTAGAAAGTTCTAGGCCTCAGTTTGGCAATGTATATATAGGCAAACAAGTGAGCACAAGTTAAGTAAGAAAATGTTAAGTTAGTGAAAGTGAGGTTTGACTGTGTGATTGTTAATTTAGTCATAACAGGCGATATTTTTAAATGAGATTCACAGTTTAACAGAGACAAGGAGAATAATTTATTTTGTCATAGAGTGTTCTAAAGTAATTGAACCCATCTGTGTGGCCTTTGATAAAAAGGAGACAATTATTTAAAGTTCTGGATACAACTGTGGTAACCCATGGGGTAACATAAGTGAATCTATTACAGATTGTGCAGTAAAAAACAGAGTAGAGAAAAATAATTCCTCGTGTCAATTGAATTCTAAAGTAACTAAAATAACCTGTGTAGACTTTTGATGTAAAATATAATTATTTAAAGCTCTTGAAAGCATTTCACGTTGACAGGAATTTTGTGTTTAATGGCTAGTTTTAACTAAGTGTGGAGAAAAACTAAAACCAGTTTTCAGATATTATCCAAAATATGCAGAAAAAAACTCCTAAAAGCAACCCTGAAATCCAAATATCAAGAACTGGACTACTTATAAAAACTCAAACAGAAATTATACCACCAATTGGCCTGCTACCTCAAGCCAGATGATTACAGCAATATACAACTTATTTTTGAATCAAGAAAAGAAGTCCATACACAATAAGAAACTAGATCAACTAAGGAAACTACAACAACTTGTAATCAACAGATCTGACCGGACACTCAACGACACAGAACTTCAACTTCTAAACAAAGGCCTCAACTTTGCCGTCAACCACAAAACAACTCCATGCCTAGAGTTCAAGGCTAGAAGGTCTAGGCAGAAGACTAGTGACCCATTACATAAAAGAACAAAAGACCACCTCTACCTCAAACATCCTCCAGCTACAGCAAGAAGACATCCATGACATCAACCAACAGACTTTTATTACAGGCAACTACAAAAAATGTGTTTTCCCGAAGTTACAACTGTATTTTAAATAATTTTTTTTAACAAATTTTCGCACAAGACTATTAATATAGTCAACCAATCCAGTAAAATGAAAAATAACCTCACAGGTAACGAGATAAAATCCATTTATAATATGAAAAAAGACTAACATTAAAATTCAAAAAAACAACTAAACAGAACTTTATTACAAATGAAAAAAGATAATTTAATTACTGACGATCTTTATTTTATCTACGTAAAACTGATTCACGCACACCACAACTCTATGGCATTCCTAAACCATACAAACAGGACTGCCCCCTACGACCTATACTGTCCACTTATGATTCATTCAACTACAATCTTGGCAAATTCATAGCCTGGGCTCTCACACCATATGCAACATCTGCAGGTTCATTTTTTTAAAGATGCCTTCAATTTCAAATATACACTAGAATAACGAAATTCTAAAACCTTAATGGCTAGTTTTGATGTCGTGTCACTCTACACCGAAATCCCCGCCAGTGAAGCTTGCAATATCGCACTCGACCTCTATACTAGTGACCACAACAAGTTAATCCACATCCCCAGCACACTTTTGGCTTCTCTCTTAGAATGTACAACAACCAATACCAACTTCATTTTCAACAACGAACATTTCCTTCAAATAGATGGTTTAAGTATGGGCAATCCTGTTTCACCCGTTCTTGCCAATATATTCATGATCCAGATCGAAACACAAGCCATACATTCTGCGCTTCATCCCCCACTATACTGGTACAGATATGGTGTGTATGTTCTTATGGTGAATTTTGGTTTTAAACTGTGTGTCCAATCTAATAATTTTGAGGTTAAGAAAGGATAACTGTTTATTGTTTTCGTGTTCTATGGTAAATTTGATGTTGGGGTGAATGGAATTTATGTGTTTAAGGAAAGTTAGTGTGTGTTCTGTAGAAGTGAAACCAGCAAAAGTGTCATCGACGGGCCTCTACATCCCATGGAATTCCGCTCATGACACCACACAAAAAATCAATACACTGAAAAACCTCATAACCACAGCCACAAGACTTTGCTCAATGGTCTACATAGATGAAGAACTCAACCACATAAAGCCTTTTTTCATTGGCAACAATAAATTTCCACCAGCTATTGTTGAAAAACTCTCCGTCATTCACCACAAAAAAACTCAACTCACGAACAAAATTGATACTAACA